AATAGTCTTTTTTAAACGTAGTCTATTTTAAAAAAAAATGTAAAATTAAAAAAATAAAATTTAATTTATTTTTAATTTAAATTTTAAATTTATGTAGTCTATTTTAAAATTACATTTGAGATGCAGCGAATTTGCATTCCTTAGCTGTACAATAGATGAATTATATCAATACCGATAAGTAATTTTCTAATGTGTTTCTCCTTCTGTCTCATGTCCAGACTGAATCATATATCAACTATTTCTGAGGCGAAAATATTTAGAATGCACATGCTTCGACATGAAGAAACAACAGTGTGCCTTAATGGTTAAAATCACAAGGCATTTTGACCGAAATTCCTCTAGAAAAAAACCTGCAAAACTATTACAGTCCTATCCATAATCTCATTGACTAAACGATGTCAGGCCCCCACAGCCTTTAAGGTTGAAGCACCCATTCCTATACCCTGCTGCATAACGAAGCACTTGCTTCATTCCTGCCAGGAATCTGCCGAGGAGACAGATCTGCCCTTCCTGATCCTGACACAGGCTCCTTAAGCTGAAAGGGGACTCAGCTGTGACCCTATGGATAGGCCAGAGGACAGGCAGGAGGCCACACGGTTTGTGGATGGCCCCGTTTGGAAAATTCACCACTTGTTATCTGGTTATCACAAGTTCACACACAACACAGCCAGGCTAAGGTAAAATAGAGGAGTGTTTATTCGTAACAACCAAAACAGGCAGCACAATGTTGGATGTTTATTAAAAAAGACAGGTGCAAAAATGAGGCAGGACGGGGGAAGATCTTAAACTGTCTCTAGATTAAATCAGGGAGGTCTCTCGCTGCTGTTTCCTTAGAAAGTGGCAATGAGCTTCTGTGTGCATCTGCTCCCTCAGTTTGCAGCCTTTGCACAGTTTGTCACAGAAAGCTCTCATGAGGGAATGCAGAACTTGGAGAGCTCTTCTGCCTTCTCTGTTGCTGTCAAGTGTTTTAGAACTTTTCTCCCCTCTGAAGTCCTCTAGGAGAGGGGGGGACTAGGGAAGACTTGGCTTCTATCTCGAAATGCATTCTTTTTCTTCTTCATCCTTAAATGTGGTCTTTTGGATTGATTTTTGTTTTTCTTTGTTTCAGATTTAATTTTTCATCCTATTTTAGCAACTTTTCCCCAAGTCATGGATCAGCCAGACCTGATAGATGCACTTCGGGTACGTTATCCACCTAAGCTCCAATCCACATCAGGGCTTCAAGGTAGTTTGCAAAATTTGAGCTTTTTTTATCCTGTGAAGCCCCAAGTGGAAAAGCCACCTAATGGAAGTGGTAGGATTATTAAAGTATGTGCAAGTTTCTTGTGCCTTAGCACCTTTAAAGTTGTAAGTGAACTTGTAAATACCTTTAGAAGGGATGCAAGTACTTGAATTAGTTAACCTGAGCCTTGCTAGGCACGGTGCTGCAGTACCACTGCTCGGGTGAGTTACCTGTCTGGGTCTGTCTGGCTCCTAAGGCAGCTCTGCATTCCCAACAGCCAAGAGCTGCCTTAGCTTCTGACTAGCAGTTGCAGAACAATATTCACTGTATTTACACTACAATCCCATGCAAGTTTCCGTACTAGACAGCAACAGCCAAATCCTTTCTGCTGAAAGGACACTACTTTCAAAACTCATCTGTATTTGCAGTTAGGCTATATTTCTTTTTCCTTCAAAAGGATTTAGTTGAGTTTATCTGTCGTGCATCAAACGGCGTGTGTGATAACAGTGAGTATTTCCTCTTCTTTTTGGATGGCAGTCAAACAGATTTTAAAGTTTTACACAGGTTTTAAAGTTCTGCATAGGTTTTGGTGGTGTGCATTTTTTTTTTCCATGTTACATTGCATTCAGAAGGTTGGGCGATTTGAAAAATGATACATGGTTATGGGGGAGAGAAAGTCAACCAGGGTTATGAATGAGTGTTCCAAGTAGCACAGCCCCTTCATTTCATTTACGTCACCCTGCTAGTTGAAAATCTCAGGATCCTTGCATCTGTAATATCAGGTGGAATGGCTGTTTGCTTAAATTGCCTAAAAGTGCCTAAAATGACAGGAATGAGGAATGTGAGGCGAGCGAGATTGCAGTAAGAGAGGTTTTTGCAGTTAAGATTGAAGCTTCTCTCATCTCCACGACTGGTCTGATGTAACGTTTTTACTTTGCATTTCAGAGCGCTTGGGCGGATAAAGAACAAACTTTGAAGAGATCAGAGAAGGTAACGTTGGAGCTTCTTTGCCATGTATCAGATCTAACTCAAACCAGAAGCTCCCTGTCAAGGTTTGGGCTAGTTAACTATCCCTCTCACCATACATCCATCCAGTAAATGCAGATGTGCTAAAAGCACTTCTTCACATTTCTTACCCATATGAAAGCAGCTATGCAGGTCCACAGACCAGTCTTTCCTCCTCTGATCCCCAATCCCTCCACGTTCTGATGGGAGAAAGGCCTCCAAATTCTGTAATCCCCGTGCTGCAAAGAGCTGTAACCTTCCATGTGGCCAGAGGGAGCTGCAAGAGAGCTGAACATGTCGTCAGGATTGCTTGTACCTTCTCCTATCCGCTGAACAAAGAGGAGCCACACACATGGGAAGAGTCTTGGTTGTTGATCCTAGGATTTACCCTCTTGGGCGTAGCAGAAGGGTGTTTCATTCATTATACATGCTAGGGAATGTATAAGGAGAATGTATAAGGAGAGTTCCCCATTTATGCAAAAACACAAGCCAAAAAGCCCTTACAGCAGAACGTCTTTTTTTCAAAGTTATTCATCTGAATTGAAAGCTGCTCTGCTCAAAGAATTAGCAGCTCCTCGGGATGCTGGAACCATCCCGTTTTTCATGATTTGTGACATGCCGTTCCCGTGACAGGATTGCTGCCTGGTGGGACAGCTGGTTCTTCCCTCCTGGGCTCCTAGGTGACACACAGCTGCCAAATCACCCGCTGAGACATGAGCCATTCATCCTCAGGAGTGGGTTTTGCTGCCGAGGCAGGGAGCATTTGTGTGTGTCCCCGGGACACTGCAGACACAGGCTCTTAACTTGCACGTGCAGCAAATGCAGCAAGAAGCCCCCGTGCACTAATACTAGATGAAGAAACACACGTACACCCTGAGCAAAGGGCTCCCAGGAACCATTCCATTGTTTTATAACAACACTGGCAGCACAAGCTGCTTAATGCACAGCACTGAAAAACAGCAAAGATCTCCTTTTAGATTTGCAAGGGCTTGAACAGAAATCATTTGAAAGCAGGGGAGTTTTGAGGTGAGTTTGATGCATCAGAGGCCTTGGGTTTTCCCTAGTAATCTGCATCTAACAAAATTATTTCTAACACAAAACTATGGAGCGATGAGGGAACTGTTATTTAGATTATGGCTGTGCATCACTCCTTTGTGTTTGGAAAAGCACGTGGATTGGAGGGGAGATTTGTTAATCTGCAGCCTTGACAGAGTTCTGGTGATGAGTTCCAGGCTCCTCGGAACTAAGTGACGTTTGTTTAGTAAGGCTCAATCTCCTGTTGTTATTCCGGGAAAAGGGATTAGCTGAATGCTTTGTTTTTCACTGTGTACGTACAAACCTCTGCAGACGTGCTCGGAAGAACTGCCTCTTTGCACTGCAATATTTTAAAATATTTTTCTTCTTTGCAGCGAGACCAAGAATTTCTGAAGGCGCAGTTTGTCCTGGTGTACCACGACTCTGTCTTTCCTCTCCTGCACTCCACTCTGCTCCCCAGTCCCAAGTGGGCAGAGGAGGAGACTGAAGCTTCTCGCTGGAAGGTGATTGCCGACTTCCTGAAAAAGGCCCGGGAGAACGAGGGAGCACTTCAGTTCCTGCTCTCCCCAGAAAACTCCCACAAAGCCTTTGATATCTCCGAGCTGACTTACGATTTCTTACGAGAAACTAGGAAAAACAGCCCTCCGGTATGAATGGATGACAGTAGAAAACAAGTAATAACGTAAATGCATTCTCGCAAAGAATTTGTGCCTCTGCAAAACACATTTTGTATGGGTTTTTAATATACTACCTGAATTGTAATAAATATTTCAATATGCATTATCACTAATATTTACAGAGAGTCTAAAATGGTATTTTATCATTTTAGGTAATCAAAGCTATATTTAAAATTTTCCACTTGAGTTAGACACGGCTGTGGTTGTCAGTTGTAGCCAAGTGGGGTGTTGCCGTGCTCCTAGGCTGAACAAACACCGAGGCAACACTTTGCTCATGCAGCCTCCAATTAACTTCTAATTAAGTTTTAGTCAGTGTGAGTCCTGAACAGAACGCTCTGTCACAGCACCAGGTAAACGGGTAGTAGTTAGTCAAGGAAAACAGCAGTGATTTTTAAGAATGCTGTTGAGCAAGGCCATCCAGTGAGTAAAAAATCACCTCTTGTCCAATCGCTGGCCAGTAGCTAGCTCTTTATTTAGCCTGTTTGTAGTGTTTTCCTTTCCCACTCAGGAAAGGTTGGGTTATTCATAGGAATGTGCTTCACCCACCTAATACAAACAGAAGTTGGTGGGAATGGAGGGCCCGCCGTTCCCCTCGTGTGTGGCAATGAGCAAGTCTGAAGGCAAAGAGGAGGGGGCAAGAAGAAAAAAATATTATAAGCCCCAGTATATTGGGGCTTGAAATGGCGAGGGGGACAACATTTCCATGCAGGAAATGTGTCTGCCGCAGCGTGGTCCGGGATTGGCCACGGAAGGTGTCCTGTTTGGCTTTATTATTGTTGCTGTTGTTATTACTATTGTTATTTTCTTTCTCTTCCCGCGTTGAAAAGCCCTGAGCTGATGGCGCGTGGCTCGCGCTGTCTGCGGCCGCGCAGCTCCGATCCTTGCAGCTTTCCCGAGCCGCTGCCCGTGCCAAGGTAAGCGGAGGGTTCCCGAGGAAGGGCAGGCTGGGCTGCTCCCCGTGAGCGTCCGCGTGGGCGCGCCGGTGCACACCCGCCGCGGGAGCGGTGCCGCACAAATACAGGCGCAACGGTCGGAGCGACTGGAGCGGCAGCTGAGGAGAGATGGCAGCGGCGGGTCCCGCTCCGAGCCCGGCCTCCACGCAGCCCTCCCTGCCCTCCGGACTGGCCGTGCTTAAAACCGTCCCCTACCTGTTCATGCTGCCTGAGATAGTGAGTATGCTGAGCTCGGCCTTGCTTTAACACCACCTCATGGGGCAAAAAAGCCCGAGCCCTGAAAGATCCTCAACAGCAGTGGGGGAAATGAGTTCTTTTTTCAAAGGAAAAGGTCTTTTCGTTTGGCTTGTATTGGACTGAGAAAGGAGGTCTCGGGGCTCGTGGCAATGTGAAGCTGTGAGCTCCAGTGCCATCCCTGAGCTTGCGTGGAGTCGGAAGGGGCATAAAACAGGAATTGGGAACTACTTGCAAATTAGGGACGATGCGCTCTCCGTGCCGGTGTCCCAGCGGCGAGAAGGCTGGAGACCGTCAGGCCTTTGGTTATGTGGAAGCCATCGTGATTCTTTAAGCGTTTCTGGGTCCAGAGGGCATCCCCTGTGACGGGTTAAGCTGGTTCCCGTTGCACTTTGAGCCGCAGCTCTCTGCTGATGACGCCACCGAACTGCCTGCGCTGTCACGGTGCCTTCAACTCCCTCTATCCAGCAGGGCAGGTGATGAGAGGACAGCAGCCTGGAGGAAAGGGGTTTTTTCCCCAGGGATGCTCCACATCTGTGTCCTGCCTTAGAGACACCACGTTTTACTCGCGCCCTGTGGGCTCCGTGACGGTGCCCTTGGTGTCTTGCGTGTCGGAGCTGAGGCTCCCCCTTCCGCAGCGTCTCCCGTGGGCGAGAGGGGCTCTTGTCCTTGCCATGGGCTGCCCAGGGCCAGCAGGGACCAGCCGGGGAGCGCAGCGCGGTCCTGGAGTGTCGGGAACAGCTCCATCCACAGGCAATGGAGCTGCACAGGCTGGGCTGAGCTTGGATAGGCCTCCCCGGGTGTTTACACCCAGTGAACAGCCCAGGTGGATCCAGAGGCTCCTTCCGGGCTGGTGCATTGGGCTAGCTGATGATTTCCTTGTGCTGTGATTTCAATCTCGAGAGAGAACATTTTTTGTTTTACTTTTGGGTATCACCCCCTTTTTGAATGATCTGCAAAGCGGTTGTCGTTGTCCCCACCCGCCCAAAGGAGCAAATCACCACGACCATCATTTTACCGATGCCACCTTGGATATAAAAGGGCTGCATACTAGGTTGGAACTGGTGCCAAACTGGGAGAACAGATGATGTGCCGGAGATCAGAGGTTCCCCGGAGAGAGAGAACTGGTGGCCAAGCACTGGCAGAGACACGGGGGTCTGGTGTGCAGAGCTCACATCCCATCCTCGCTCCGTGCCAGGGCCATCCCCAGGCCGGGCTGCGAGGCATCCACGCTCCCAAAGAGGAGCCCAGACCTGAGTCCCGCTCGCTCCTTGTCCTCACGTGGAAATGGGGCTGGGGGCTCTGGGAGGAAGGAACCAGTGGAGGGAGAAGCTCCGGCTAATCCGATCGCTGCCTGTCGCTGCTGTCAGGATACAGCGTCTGGAACACGTGGGGCTCTTGGAGGCTTCAGCTTGTTTCCCTCCATCAGCTGGGGATGCTCAGGCGTGGGGGCTGAGTGCGAGCTCCGGTGTCACGGGATACCGCTGCCGTATCCACACCTTCGTCCTCCCTTGTGCATCCGCAGCACAGCTGCCCCGCGTTTCCTGCTCGAGGGGCAGGTTTCGGGTCCGTGCGTGGTGGCTGTTAGGGCTGCGTCAGCAGGATCCCCTCAGCTCAGCTTTGGCAGCCCCAATCGCGTGCGGGGGCGCGCGTTGTAGCTCCCACCGTAATTCACGGGGGACAGTCGGCCTAGGGCCCGTGCTGCTTGTGCCTGTGCTCGCCCGGCAGCCCGGGCGCCGTCCTGCCTTTCGCCCCACGCGGGCTAGCGAGAGGCAGCGCAGAGCAGGGTGGCGGTGCTGGGTGGTGGCACAAGGTGCGGGGTACGAAGAGGGCTCGCGTGCCGTGTTCAGTAGCAGACAGCAGCGTCTTTGCGGCTCATAAATACCTCCACGCCGATAAGGCAGCCCGGAGATGAAGGTCACACATTTTATTAGCCTTTGGGCTTGGCTTCCGAGCATTGCCGCCCATAAAGCTGTTCCCGCCTCTCTGCTGCATACAGCTGAGATTGCAGCTCCACCGCGACGGCGCTCGGGTGGGCCCTGGGCTTTGGGGAACATCCTTCCAAAGAGCAACCGCTCCTACTTGCTGCTCCGTGTATCCCATCCGCGCATCCCGCGGGAAGTGTCTGCAAGGCCCCGACTGTGTTTGGCCGGGACACCCGTCCTGCCCCATCCGCGCCGGCTCCGACGAGCCCCGCGCACGGGCACAGCCCAGCTGTGCAGGGAGACCCAAGGAGGGTGATGGGGATGGGATGGATTCCCAAACGGCAGCTGGCTCCCCCCGAGCCACCTTCACTGGGAATGTCTGTCTGTCCCTGGCAGGTCTGTGGGGCCTGGGTCTGGATCCTCGTCGCCGCTACCTCCGTCTCGTTCCCGCTGCTGCAGGGATGGGTGATGTACGTGTCCCTCACCTCCTGCCTCCTCTCCCTGCTGCTCTTCTTAAGCTACTTCTTCGGATTTCGCAGAAACAGCGAGAACTGGAGGGTGCTGGTAAGGACGGGCTCGGGCACGGGGCAGGCCGGCCGCGGCCGCTAGTCACGGCAGAGCGAGCACGAAGCTGCTGCTGCGCCGGTCACAGAGCGGCTGGGGTTGGAAGGGGCCTCTGGAGACCATCCAGCGCAGCCCCTGCTCCAGCAGGGACACCCAGAGCACGGGGCGCAGTCCGCCTCCAGCAGCTCGGCCGAGCCCTCTGCTCCCCATCTGGAAAACGGCTCCGACGGTCGCTGAGGGTAGCGCCGGCTCCCAGCGCCCGCCGCGGCATCGCGCTGCCCTTCGCGCCACATGCGGCCCCGTAGCGTTTAGTCGCGCTGCAGCCTCTGCCCTGTCCCCAGGACAGCCTGTACCACGGTGCCACGGCCATCCTGTACATGAGCGCCGCCGTCCTGCAGGCCAACGCCACCATCCGCTCCGAGGACAACCCCAGCTCCCCGCCGCGCTACCAGCTCAACACCGCCGCCTCCGTGAGTTGGGCACCGGGGGTGCCACCCGCTGTCGCACACGCTGTCACGCTCCATGGGGCTCCAGGGGGGCAGCACAACCCCAAAGCATCGGCGGTTTCTACTGCAGGAACAAACGTTCCAGCGGGAAGCAAGCCCTGTCCGCCCCGCAGGGTGTCCCGCTTTGCAGCCAGGTGTCACACCGTGTCCGTGAGCTCTGGATGTGCTCCCGAGGCTTGACTCCCTCTTCACCACCTCTAGGCACTAGAATGGATTCCTCCAGGACAAACAGCTCAGGGCCAGCTTTGCATGACCTGTTTTCCTGGGAAACATTGGGGTGTTGCCTCTTTGGAAACTGGGAAGAGAAGTCTAGCTTGGGAATTTCCCTCAAGACATGAGTCCTGAGGGAAGATGGGGCTGCCCAAAGAAGGACAATCCCCCGAGCCACGCAGCATGTGGACTCCAGCTTTCACTCTCCTTTCTCTCTTGCAGTTCTTTGCCTTCCTCACGACCTTCCTGTACATCCTTCACGCCTTCAGCATCTACTACCACTGACCCAGGAGGACACGTCAGCCTTTGGAGCTGCACAACAGCCTCCCCAGAGCAAGAGAAGCACCCGCTCCCAGCAAGGACTCCATGCCCTGACCCTGCACTGCGCCGCACGGAGCTGGTGGCTGCTCTTCCCCTGCCCCTAAGGAGAGGTCTTTAGGCATCAGGCGCCGTGTCGCCGTGGTTGTGAGGGACAGTTCTCACGTGGCCTCTGCTCTCCTCCAAGGGGCCGTGTCCGTGGCGCTGCCGGTCCCGTCTCTGCCGGCTGCCACCTCTCCCGGTGCAGAGGGGCCGGGAGGGCGGCCTCGACGCACAGCACTGCGCCCCCGAGGTGCCACCACGCGCTGCCCCTGGGTAAGGGGACACGTTCCCAGCCAGCGGGATCCGCGGGGACCCGCCGAGCCCCGCCAAGGCCAGGGGGCCCTTGGAACGAGGGCAGGAGACGCGCTGGGCAGCACGGCGCTTCCGCACTCCATCCTCAGGCCCAAGGCTCCTCCAGGTCACGTACGTGGGGGTTATGTAAAATAAAGTGCAGATGCTGGCGGTCCAAGCGCCTCTGCCCCAGCTAGGGCTCTCGCTCACCCAGTGTGCTCTTGAGAAAGGCTGGTCCACTCCTTTGACCTGGCAGCCCTCCCGCCTCGTCTGCCTCTGAACGAACTGTTTTCCCCCGGCTTGTGTTCCTTTCTTGCACTCTTGCCCCCGTCCCTCCTTGTCCCCTGGGGACAGGACAGCTCTTTATTTCCCACAGCGCCCTCCCTGCTTCCTCCTGCCTGCCCGCCCTGCAAAATAATCCCTCCAAAGACGCACGAGGCCATAGGCACCCATAGCAGAGCGTGAATCCGCACGTGGCGCCGCTCTGTGTGACCTGGAGCCCGGTGGCCCGAGGCCATAGGGGCCCCTAACGCTCACCGGCAGCCCGTGGGTGCCCATGGAAGGGGCTGCACCCACTGGGGCTGCACAAAGCCATGTGAGGCCGCAGAGCCTGGCACGGCCCCAAAGGAGACCATAAAGGCCTGCACAAGCCCATATGGATCACAGCGGCTGGTGCAGGCCTGTAGGAACCTGTATGGGGCAGCAGGAATCCATAGGAGGCAGTAGAGGGTATGATGGGTCTGTAGGAACCTGCATGGGGCAGCAGGAGTCCATAGGATGCAGTAGAGGGTGCTATGGACCTGTAGGAACCCGTATGGGGCAGCAGGAGTCCATAGGATGCAGCACAGGGTGCTATGGGCCTGTATGAGTCTGTATGGGGCAGCACAAATCCACAGGATGCAGTAGAGGGTGCTATGGGCCTGTAGGAGCCTACAGAGGCCAACACAAGCCCTAACAACTCCATAAAGGCCCCCATGAGCCCACAGAGACGTGCACAAGCCATAAAAGCCTGTATGAGCCCATAGAGGCCCACGTGAGCCCCTACAAGCCCACAGAAACCCACACGAGCCTATAAAAGCACACAGGGGTCTATAGGAACCCATACATGCCAACATGAGCACCATCAAGCCCCTAAGAGCTTGTATTGTCCTGCAGGAAGCCACTGGAAGTGCCAGTGCCCTCCCAGCCACAGAGCCCGTCGTGTTGCTGCAGGGGCTTGAAGGGCTGATCTTTCCCTCAGGCCTATTGGGAAGGGTGGTTGGAGCGCTCCTGTGATGGGATTCGGACAGGTGTCCCTCACCTCTTGAAAGACATGGCCAAAATGTGGCCAGCAGCCCTATGGAAAGTTCCTTTGCGTCCCACTGTCATCACCTTCATCTCCTCTTGACTCTTTTCTCCACTTTGTCACCAGCCTGAATCAACACCATGACCCCCTTGCCCACTCTGCCCTCTCCTGCGTGTCCAGCCTAGACATCTATTCCCACCTCCTACACAAACACATCTCCCTGTCCTTCCCTGCAGCCTCTTCTGGCCTCCACCATCTCCCAGGCTTTAGATAAGCTCTTTGCTTTCACTGGGGCAAAGCGCCTGTCACGGAGGGGCGCCAGGAGCTGGGGAGAGCACAGCAGGAACCTTCGCTCCTTTCTGAAGGCCCAGGAGTTGGGCCAGGCTTCCCATCACCGTGAGCACCGGTGCCTTTGCAGGAGCCACACCAGACCTGGGGGACACTCCAGGGCCTCCCCAGACCCTGCCCCGGGCCTTGGCTTCCCGGCTGCACCCCAGCCCACCCCATTGCCACAAACCCGCCCGTGGGTCCAGGCTTGAGCCTGGCTCAGCGCCGGCCTTGCTTGGGGCCCATGGGACACGGCCCTGGCTGGTGACGGCCCTGCTGCCACCCTGCCTATGTGCCTAACGCCTTGGGGCGTTTAAACCTTGAGCTCCAAACAGCTTCCCACCTGGTCCCTTTACAGACCAACGTGGTTCCACTGTCACTTTTGGACAAAACACCCCGGAGCGCAAACACCTCTGCTTTACATTTTGCAAATTTTTGTCTCAGTCCCTGTTTTTTTCCCGCCATTGGCGGCACTTTGCCAGGGCAGACGCGGCCGGCCCCGTTCGCCCCGCGCCGCCTCAGGCGGCCGCGCCCGTCC